ATGGAGTAGATGAAAGCATAGAGTTGATAGTTCCGTTAGAGTACGGCAGTGTGAAGATTGTATATAGATATTAGAATAGCGAACTAGGACAACTTTTAAGGAAGGTACAAATCGGTTTTTTTCATCTCTTTGGAGAGGGATGGTGAGGGGTGTCCCCCCCCCCCGCCACCACTGGAAAAAAGAGATGAAAACCGACCGAACAATAGTTGCAATTTCCAAACCTACGACTGGATGCCTTCCTTCAAATAACAATTGAAGTGCGGTAAAAATCGGTAGAACTGTTTCAAACACACAGTTGGTACTTGAGCGGGTCGGGTTTCATCTCTTTTTGCCAGTGGTGGCGGGGGGGGGGACACCCCTCACCATCCCTCTCCAAAGGGGGAGTTTGGTAAAGAGAGATGAAAAAACCGATTTGTATCTTCCTTAAAAGTTGTCCTAGTTCGCTTGTCTAATATCTATATACAATCTTCACACTGCCGTACTCTAACGGAACTATCAACTCTATGCTTTCATCTACTCCATCTATCGTATAAAAATTACCACTACAGTCTGTTATTTGAAATTAGCATCTTCAACTATGTAGTTTTTGTTGAAATTAGTGGTTGGCCACATGCTTCGTGGCTTCCGAAACCTGTTCCAGGGACATTGGGTGATCATTGTCACTCTTGTCAATTGGCATGGTCTATAATGACATGTTAAAAAAATTCTGAGAATTTGAATATGCCGCATGACTAGTTTCTGCTGAAACTAGATAATGGCCTTTTCCGCAGGGGCGTCCTGAACCTGTTCCAAGAACATTGGGTGGCCATTGTCATTTTTCGCAATTGGCATGCTCTCTAATGAATTGTCCACGAATTTCTGAAAATGTTGATGTGCCGCACGTCTGGTTTTGTTGAAATCAGAGATCGGCCACTTCTACCGGGGCTTCCGGAACCTATTTCAGGGACATAGGGTGGCCATTGTCACTCTTGTCATTTGGTACAGTCTCTAATGACATGTCCATCAAATTCTGAAAATTTTGATATGTCGCATGGCTAGTTTTTGTTTAAATTAGAGGATGGCCACTTCCTCCGGGGCTTGCGGAACCTGTTCCAGGGACATTGGGTGGCCATTGTCACTCTAGTCAATTAGCATGGTGTCTAATGGCATGTTCATCAATTTCTGAAAATCTTGATGGACTGCACGTCTGGTTCTGTTGAAATCAAAGATTGGCCACTTCCTCTGAGGTTTCCGGAACCTGTTCCAGGGACTTTGGGTGGTCCATTCTGGAATTCATGTACGCCATCTTTCAGTTCTTATCAAAACCTGCAACTTTGCAGAACATTATTTGGTTCTATCTTATTGTTTGAGGTTCGTAAAAAGCGTGGGTACCCGGGTAAGGGTAAGGGGTACAAATAGTACATACCCCCTGATTAGCCCCTCCTTTACCCAAATTTCTTGAAATTTCACCAGATCGTTTGTGTTAGCATTTTACAAGATGTCAGAAAGCTTCATAACGATAAACATCACGTACATGAGTTTATTTCAATTCAAACATCAAAATGGGTACCCGGATACCCCGTCACCCACATAAGGGTTAAACACTCACGCACGTAAACATCGGTTGTCATTGTCTCCGTTGTCACAAACGGTTTGTAAAGCATACCACACCCACAAATGGCTTGCCAAGCCATTGCCTTTTAACCGAATTCGGTAAAAATCCACTTATCCGCGTTGTCAACACTTCGGCCATCACGAACGGTCGTATAACTTCGGAGCCCTCGGTTTGACAGATGCGGCTTGTTTTTCACTCCGCTTAGGCTTCTTCTGCTTCTTATACGTCTTTAGACCCATTCTTGCCTTGGCCCGCTGGCCGTTACTCTTCGAGGATTCTACTTTTTTAGCCACGTCTCGAACCGAAGCACTTTTCTTGCAAGTGAAAGCTTATATGGTTTTCCGGTCCAGATTTCGGTCAGCAGGGTTCGGTTTACGTCCATGATTTAGCTTGTCCTGGAAATTTGCTTCATCACCATACTTCCGAATGGCGTTTCGAACGGCTCCGATGCTTACACATTCCAATTTCGCTAATTGACTCAGAGAAATTTTGGGGATAGTACTCCACTTGTGCACGATCTGTTAAGAACTGACACTTGCGATCAGGGGTTGAAACTGTTGACGTTTTTTACTACACTCGCTTTGTTGTCCTGTGCGACAGTCTGTTTGTTTTCGTACTCTCATACTCTACCGTCGTCTCTCTTACACAACGCAAACGGTAGAACAACATTCGAGCAAAAAGAAAATTATCAAATAACTATCGTATGACAAATGTGATTTCGTTCTTATTCCTTAATTTGGTGTAAATAAAACCTTTTCTGATCAGAAATGCTGTTACCAGAACATCGTTGCTTGCTATTTTCAGAATTCACACAAGCACAGCATCAGTAAATAGCTCTTATTATGGGAAAAACTAAAATACATACATTCGTGACGGTCTTCGGCAACAATGTCGTATGACAGAGCCTTTCATATGACATTTTAGTTTGGTACTGTAATTTGATAACTTGTTTTGCAAGTGTCGGAAGCAAAGGCAGTCGATTATCACAGAAAATGTGTCGACTACGGTGACCGCTTACAAGACTGCTTGTGATACACGAAACTGTTGGTCCAAATGTAAACAATGATTCAGTGTGATACTTCTTGCTTAGACATTCTGGGACAACCTATAAAGGGTGTCCCGCATCAAATTGCATAACGGAAAAAACGCTCTTGAAAATTATCCATTGGGTATTTTCTCTTGAAAATTTGGATCGAAGTTGTTTAGAGTGCATTGTTTACACGGTGTTTTTATCGCTGTCAGTTTTTCGAAAGTTGGAAAAAATGGCGTCCCTGAAAAGCAACGTCGCCAATTGATTTTGCGCAAGCACCTGCAAAATCCTCAACTCTCTCATCGGGACATCGGAAAACAACTCGGAATCGTGCAGTCAACGGTGAGTCATGTGATTAAACGTTACTACGAAACTCTGAGCATCGAACGGAAGGAGAAATGCGGTCAGAATGGATGTTCTATTAGTGATCAGGATCACAAGCGTGTCGTGAAAGCGTTTAAGCGAAATCCCAATGTGGCCAAAAAGTTGAATCTGTCCAAGTATTTCGTTCAGAGAGCCAAGAACCGGGAGAGACTGCATACGTACAAAGTGCAGAAGGCGTGACGAACGGCAAAATACGGTGGGAAAGTCACGAGCCCGGAAACTGTACACCCAGATGCTGACGAAGCCTCATTGTCTCATCATGGATGGTGATTACGTCAAGCGGACTTCCGGCACCTTCCGGGGCTACTGTTCTTCACCGCCCAGCCCAGCACAAGTTTGATGTTCCGGAGGAAGTAAGGAAGCACAAACTTTCAAAGTTTGCCAAGATTTGGCAAGCGATCTGCTCATGTGGCAAACGGAGTGCGCCTGACTACCGCGACTGTAAACGGGGAGATCTACCTCAAGGAGTGTCTACAGAAGCGTCTGCTTCCTCTGTTGAACCTAATGAGTGGAGTTAAGCGTAAGGTACGAGCGTACGGTTATGGTATTGAAGTAGAATGAAATAAATATGCCAAAAGCTTACTAATGGGTTATATTTTATTGTCTGAAAGTTTGACAAGGATTGGTCAACTAGATAATTTTCAACAGCGTTTTTTCCGTTATGCAATTTGTTGTGGGACACCCTTTATAACTTCAAACGTTACACACCCTAATGGATTATTGATGATTTGTTTTCTTTGAAAAAAAAAAACATAAAGGCCCAAACAATTCGGTAGAGTGGGCGCGCCTGCGCTCACACCGGTCCCCTGGGCCGCTCTGCCGAATTTTTCAGTCTTTCGTAGTAATACCCAAGAGCCTTCATTCCTTACGAAAAGTTCAGCGTATAACCTCTTGAATTGATTGTTTGGCTTTGATGGCCATTTGTCTTAAGTCGAGGACCGAGATATCGGAGAGAGATATTCCTGATGATCACGAAAATGCTCTCTGTACCAGAATCACGACCTAACGAGTTATAATTGAATTTCACATGACTTATCTTTCGTGCAAAATGTGTTAGACTGTAGAGACTCGTTGCCACGTCTAGATTATCCGGGCCTGTCTGAATCTTTTAAAGATGTAATCGAGTTTCTTCTTCTTTCGAGATCAGTAGACGGCCATGTTCGATATTAAAATCTATTCATTCCACTCTGAAAGCACGTGATCGGCGAATGGCGTCACCGTCCACCGGATTCCGCTTCCTCCCATGCAAGCTTAGCATTGAAATTAAAAATTAATAATCCTAAGCTGCCTTCGATAAGCTCACGATTTTAATCGGAACCTTCCTTATTCCCATCCAAACCATATATTCATCAAACGGTAATCAGAGCCAAAAGTTACCCACACCAAGGTCGGTCAAGGTAGCATCATCACCTCCGTTCCACGGCTTGCTTCCGACTTGAAGCTGCTCACACCGAAAAGAACAATAATAGCAAAACGAAGAAAGAATTGAAGACAACAACCCAAAACAAAAATACCATTTTCAATCACGACTGCCGAGCCGGCCTTCGCAAAGGGTTCACCAAACGAACGAAAATGAATTAAATTTTTGACACATTCCTATTAACTTGCGAATAAAACAACGAAGTGCGATGACGATGACAACAACAACAACAACCGCAACAGCTCTACAGCTCGAAGATCTTTTTATTATTTTCCACCACTGACCACTGGTAGGTAGAGAAGAGAGGTAACCGACCGCAGCAGGCGTTAGTTTTTTTTTTCTTCAGCAACTTTTCAGCACAAAGCGTGACAGGAAATAAGAAGCAGCGCTTCCTCGGTTCTTCTCACCATTTGCTGACTCGAACACAGATGGACCGGGGAGAACAACAAGCATCAACCTGTCTGCCTGGCGACTGAAGCCGGGCAATCAAAACAAACCGAGAAAACAATCCATAGAAGTAGGAAACGAAGGAATTCGGATATGTTGCTTAGAAACTGATCTGGCCACTAATCTTCTCTGTTTTTGAAAAATATCCTTTGTTTTTATTCTGATAGCGTTTCATCATCATTCTGATCCGTTTCCTTATCCGAGCAAAAATCTTCTCATTTAATCTACGGTTTTGAGTGTAAATTGTTTCTGTTTTTTGTTTGTTTTGTATGCGATTTGCTTTTCTTGTATTATATATGATATTTATTTAAAAACAAAACAAAAAAATTCCAAACTAATGTATCTTCATGCACTTGTTTTTTTTTTTTTTACTATTACAGAGATACGTCAGTTCGTATCCGTTTTTATTTTCATCTCGTTCCTTCCATTTTTCACTAATGCATAATCAACTAACATCGTCATCAACTCGTCTCGTCGGCTCGCTTTTAGGGCGGCAAATTCGGAGAAGGAAGAGTTCGGCAAAGAAAACAATGTTTCTACTACAGGTTTTAAAATATTTACAGCTACAACAGTCAAACAACGGTAGATTTCCTCCTTCCACTGTTTGAAGAAACAAATATACCATATTTTTTTTTTCTCTTAGCATGGAGGTTTACTCAAGAATCAACGAACGAATTTGCGTTTTTTTTATGTTTAAAAATATTACAATTTAATAAGTTATACTTTCTAGCTGAGAGTAAAATCAAAGCAGTTACACAGTTAAAAGAAACTAATAGGTTGTTGATTAAATAGAAACCATGATTCAAAACACGTAACAAAGGTCACGGCCCGCTCAAGCTGTACAGTCAGATTTGTAAAATGACAAAGTTATTCACTATCAGAGTCTCATCATTGCGATAAAGGTATAAAACAATAATTATTCAAATAAAAAAAAAAAAAAACATAAATCTAAAACGACTGAACGAACGAGATAACTTTCGTTTTCCTAGAGTTTCTAGTTAGAGTTTTGTAATATTATCGTAGTACTTTCTTTTGCTTGCTGTGATTGACGATGATGTGTGTTCTAGTGTGGGATTGTGGGTGTGTCGGTCGGTTTAGAGTGGAGAGACACGGAGGAGAGGGCGGAGCTCCATGCTCTACGTCGACCCAAGTCCGGCCCATTTGATAAAGTCCGGCAGCTCGCGTACGGGTAGATCGTTGGACAGGGCCTTCACCCGCAGATTCCGGTCCGTCGTTAGCAGGACCACCTCACGGCTGATGTAACGGACCTCTCCTGGTGGTGCGAATTGTGGTCGTCATAACAAGATACGTTGAAGAAAGGAGAAACGGAGACAGAGAAAGAAAAGAGCAAAACAAAATTTGTGGTAAGAGTGCGTTTGGTAAGGAGGGAGGGATAAGGATCTTTTTACAAATCAGCTAGGGTGGGTGTTATTTTGTACAGTGGGAAGTTTTGTTAGTTATTCTTAATTCGATTGAACTGCAAGCTAATTCGATTGCTTTCCTTCCAATATCGGGTTAGGGAGAGTTGACTGTAATTTAATTTTTTAAATTTAAACGCTAGCCAGTAGACTGCTGCAAAATTTAAAAATATCACTTCACAGTGCTCAAACAGTTCCAAATTGGGTCCTGATTAGCCTTCCAAAATTTGAATTCATTGAGTAAGAAACTGACTTGGCACAAACCATCTGAAGCTTATATGGAAATTACTATGGGAAAACCAATTATTTAGCTCAACTACAACTTTGTTGAGATTCAAGTCACTAATGCCTAATGATTATGCTGAATCAACTGTTCAGTTGGCAACATTGGTGTTTCTGGCGCGTAGAATAGAGTACAAAAATCATGGCTACTATGCCACACTGCAGAATACAGTGTTGTCCAGAAAACAGCTGCTTGATCATGCCATAAGATTGGCAGTCTCTTAAATAATTAATAACTATTTTAATTAACGTTTGGCTGAAAATTGATCTTCTGCAAAGTTGTAGCTGAGAAAATTTCCCATAAGAATAGTTATAGAATTTTTTAACAGAGCAATATGGAAATAGAAGTCAATGAACAAAAAGTTTGGTGTTGCCATATTAATTTCCATAAAACTTCAAATGGTTTGTGCCAAGTCAGTTTTTTACCAAATTAGTTCAACTTTGGGAAGCTAATCAGGACCCGATTTGGAACCAGTTAAGCATTGTGGTGCGAGAGTTTCAAATGTTGTATCAGTCTACTGGCCAAGCTGAGCAGTTACAACACGTTATAGGGGAAGGAGGGGCATATTGAGCTTCCTGTGCTTAAGCCTTGGATTTCTAATGGTTCGAAACAAATGAATTGGTCAATGATCATCGCAATGGAGATATCGAACCTACTACCAATTAATTTGTATCAAGCAATTAGAGGTTTGGGACTGTATTGCGGGATGCTCATGATGCCCCTTTTACACCCCCCCCCCCCCCCCTTTAATAATTATTATAACATGTTATAACTCTCACGTTAGTTGAGATTCTGATTTAGTATGTTTATTTTAGTTATTTCAATTAACTGACATAATCACCATTCGGAAGGTATAGCTAGCTTCTTCCAGTTAGAACAGACAAAAATCCGATTGGACCTGTGGTTGGTCATCCGGAACGGAAAAAAACCCGGTAAAGTCCCGAGCAAAATGCGTGTCGATTCATGTTGACAGGACTGGTTCTCGGTAATTTGGATACCAAATTTTAAGATTGAGCCACTATATACTTTCGAACACAACATCCAGAGATCCGATTGGACCTTTGGTTGGCTAGCCGGGACGGGAAAACCCGTGAGAGGTGGCTCTGCGGAAATTCGGATTCACCGGGAAAATGGTCAATTCCTGAAAGTAGACCTAGAGATCCGCATTTTTTTTTCTGATTTGCTTACAATCATGAGCATAGAGGAAATATGCAATCTCCATATAGATTTAACTACCGCGTGGCCAGAAAATGGACCTCTGGATATCCGGAATCACCGGAAAATTGGTCAATTCCTAAAAGTAGACCTAGAGATCCGCGATTTTTTCTAAATTGCACACAATCATGAGTATATTGAAAATGTACCATCATCATATTGATTCCTTTGCCGGATGGCCAAAACATGGTCCTCTGGGTATCCGAAATCACCGGGAAATGGTCAATTCATGAAAGTAGCCCTAGAGGTCAGCGATATTTTTTCTAAAATGCACACAATCATGAACATAGAGGAAATGTACCATCACCACATCAATTCTGCTACCGCGTGGCCAGAAAATGGACCTCCCGATATCCGGAATCACCGGGAAATTGGTCAATTCCTGAAAGTAGACCTAGAGATCCGCAATTTTTTTTATTATAAATTGCATACAATCATGAGCATAGAGGAAATATGCAATCTCCATATAGATTTAGCTACCGCGTGGCCAGAAAATGGACCTCTGGATATCCGGAATCACCGGAAAATTTGACAATTCATTAAAGTAGACCAAGAGATCCGCGATTTTTTTCTAAATTACACACAATCATGAGTATATTGAAAATGTACCATCATCATATTGATTCCTTTGCCGGATGGCCAAAACATGGTCCTCTGGGTATCCGAAATCACCGGGAAATGGTCAATTCATGAAAGTAGCCCTAGAGGTCAGCGATATTTTTTCTAAATTGCACACAATCATGAACATAGAGGAAATATGCCATATATCGATTCTGCCACCGCGTGGCCAGAAAATGAACCTCTGGATATCCGGAATCACCGGAAAATTGGTCAATTCCTGAAAGTAGACCTAGAGATCCGCGATTTTTTCTAAATTGCACACAATCATGAGTATATTGAAAATGTACCATCATCATATTGATTCCTTTGCCGGATGGCCAAAACATGGTCCTCTGGGTATCCGAAATCACCGGGAAATGGTCAATTCATGAAAGTAGCCCTAGAGGTCAGCGATATTTTTTTCTAAATTGCACACAATCATGAACATAGAGGAAATATGCCATCACCACATTTTAATTCTGCTACTGCGTGGCCAAAAAATGGACCTCTGGATATCCGGAATTACCGGGAAATTGGTCAATTCCTGAAAGTAGACCTAGAGATCCGCGATTTTTTTCTAAATTGCATACAATCATGAGCATAGAGGAAATCTGCAATCTCCATATAGATTCAGCTACCGCGTGGCCAGAAAATTGATCTCAGGATATCCGGAATCACCGGAAAATTGGTCAATTCATAAAAGTAGACCTAGAGGATCAGCGATATTTTTTTTAAATTGCACACAATCATGAATATATTGAAAATGTACTATCATCATATTGATTCATATATATTCATATTTGTCGGATGGCCAAAAATAGTTCCCTGGATATCCGGAATTACCGGGAAATTGGTCAATTCGCGATTTTTTTTTTTCTTAATTGCATACAATCATGAGCATAGAGGAAATCTGCAATCTCCATATAGATTCAGCTACCGCGTGGCCAGAAAACGGTCCTCTGGATGTCCAGAATCACCGGGAAAATGGTCAATTTCTTAAAGTAGACCTGGAAATACGCGATGCATACAACCATGAGCATAGAGGAAAATAAGCCATCAGCATTTCGATTTTGCTGATCGGAAAACGGATCTGCGAATATCCGGAATCACTGGAAAAATTGTCAATTCCTGAACATAGACATAGAGATACTTTACTTTCTTTCATTTTTTTTTCTTTTTTTCCTTTATTAGAGAGATGTTTAGCCTAAGGCTAGTTCATCTCTTCTCTTTTTTTTTCTTTCAGAATTGCAACCATCATATCGATTCTGCTACCGGGTGGCCAGAAAACGGTCCCCTAGATATCTGGAATCACCGGGAAATGGTCAATTCCTAAAAGTTGACTAGGAGAACGCAATTTCTGGCTAAATTGTATACAATCTTGAGCATAGAGCCAAAACATGATCGATTTTGGAAAACAGTTCTAAGAATATTATACCAAAAGATGTATTGTAAATTTCATCTTGATCGTGAAAATTTTTCAAGATCCAAAATGGCCGAATTTTAGCTATAATATGAACCACTTCCCACGACAAACAATTATGCAAAATTTCATGCAAACCGACCAAGGTCGAGTTTTTCCGATTCATCATTTGGCGTGGAACTGCTCAAGTCGCTCAATTTAAACTTTTGGACCAAAAACGACCTTGCCAGGAATGTCGGCAGAAATATCCAGGGAATGTTTGAACTAGCTTCTGAAGGAAGCCGAAAAACATTCCAGAAAAAGAAGAAGGAGGCTCTTCTGAAGGAAGTTTGATGAATTTGAAATTTCACACATCCAGAGGAAGCCAGAAAGGTTCCAGGAGAAGTTAGAAGAAGCTCGGAAAAACCTTCCAAAACAAGAAAACTTCCGGAGGAAGCTCAAGGAGAAACTTCCTGAGGAAGACGAAAGCAACTTCTGGGAGAATTCGATAGATGCTTCGGGTAGAAGTTTAAAGGAACTCCCGGCAGAAGACGGAAGAAACTTTCTATGGTAGGGAAGTTTGGAAGCAACTTCTGAAGAAAGTCAGAAGCTTCGTCCGGGGAAGCCAGAGGGCTTTCGAGACAATCGGAAGAAGATTCTAGGGGTAGTTGGGAATACAATTCCGGAAGCGAGAGATTTCTGGGGGATGTCGAATGAAAATTCCGGTGGACATCGGTAGAATCGTCTAAAGAAAGTTAGAGGGGGTAGTTGAAAAACTAGGAGAAAACGGAAGAATATTTCGAGCAAACTCAGAAGAAGCTTCCGGGCGAAGTCGAAATAACTTTCCATGAGGAATGGGATAATAACTTATGGAGTAAGGAGAAAGAAAATTCCAAGCAAAGAATAAATGAACTTCAGAAAGTTAAAATATGAACACTCTAATTGACCTTAATGGTCACATCAAAGATAACAGTATTTTCCGATTCCTTTGAATTAACCATCAGCTATTTCTCGATTCATGGGTAGCCAAAAAGGGCGATAAAATGGAAACACTACCATAAGGCAATTTTAAAGAGCAATAAGTTTTTGAGCAATTGAAGGCTCAAAGAAATTGACGTATTCAAAATGATAAAAGTCCGTCACAATAGTTTTCTCTAACAATTTTGGATTATTAAAAAATCTATATAAATCGTAATAGAATCTCAAGAATCGGTATTTTGAGGAGTCTTATCTGTATATTGGTATCAAGTTCGAAAATGGGTTCATCTGGCAACGCTGGGTTTCCTACATGGTGGACAGATTAGTCAAAAATTCCCTCAATATGCAGCTCGTAATTCCAATCACCAGGAAACATGCTG